ACTCTACTCTATCTTTCAAAAAAAAAAAAAAAAAATCCCAGGTGGCACAGGAGCCAGGGCACATCCTTGAGAAAGGCTGCCGGCTGAAACTGTCGTGACCTGGAGAGCAGGAGCCCATCAATGCTAGCGAGCGGTTTCTGAGCGGGAATGAACACCAATGTTACCAGATACTCGGATTTCTCAGAGAAAATACAACTGCTTGAGCCGTCACCTGCTGCCTCCCATGGTACACATTAGCAGGAAGCTGGAGCCAGAAATGTAGCTGGGATTCGAACCCAGGCATAAGCTGTGCTTTAACCGCTCTGCACTGTGCCTGTCCCAGGTCTTAAATGCTTCTTCTTCCCCCACCTGCTCCCATCCTCCTCTTCTCTCCTTCCTTCTTAGTATTCCTTCTGCCCTTTCTCACCACGCCCCTCACCCCAAGCGCAAGCACAGGAGGGCTTCCACATACAATCGCTGGGATAAGGCTCTGGGGAGAAGGCTGAGGACAATGTAGCCCATCAGAGCTGGGAGGAACCACAGAACGCCATCATCCACTGAGGGTCAAGTTGAGGGACCCAAGGGCAGAGAGACCTGCCCAAGATCACAGAGGGGGTCAGAGCTGGAGTTAGCGTGGGCCGCCAGGGCTCAGGTTGAATCCAGGGCGAGGATTTCAGTCCCTGAGGCTGAATCAGGTTTGCTGCACAGAGCATGGAATCAGTTACGAAGAATGTGCTGGCCTCAGGGAGGGGAACTGCGTGCTGTCAGGCCCCCAGTGATTCCTTTTGCCGAGACTTGCTCACCGCTTGGGCCCTGGGCTGCCCCAGCTTGAAGATGGCCACTTGCTTGGTTTGCTACCTTCCCTCCCTGCTCATTAGGACACCTACCTGTTCCCAGGTGTGCGTGCTACATGCCAGATTTTTGCTTTGGATGCTCTTGCCCTTTTCTTATTATTTTTTAAACTTAATTTGAGAGGCAGATAGACACTGAAAGATAGAAAACTCCCACTGGTTCACTTCCCAATGCGCACAACGGCTGGCGGTTGGGCTAGGGCCAAAGCCAGGAACTCAGTCCAGGTCTCCCACAGGGGTGGCAGGAACCCAATTGCTGGAGCCATCACTGCTGCCTCCCGGGGTCAGGAAGCCTGGAGTCAGGAGTCAGAGGGGGGGTCTTGAAGCCAGGTGCCTTGATATGGCAGCTGGGGGTCTTCTAGGCCAAACACCAGCCTTCCTGGGGTCTTTCTGCTGAAGTCAGCACCTTCCCCTTAGAGCCATCCTCTGTCCTTTCAGGTGTGTAAACCTGGCTGTTAGCCCCTTCCTTCCTTCCTTCCTTCCTTCCTTCCTTCCTTCCTTCCTTCCTTCCTTCCTTCCTTCCTTCCTTCCTTCCTTCCTTCCTTCCTTCCTTTATTTTTAATTCAAACAGTACTCTATACTTTGTGTGTCTGTGAGGGTGCAATCTGTTGAAATCTCTGCTTAGTATATATTAAGTTGATCTTCTGTATATAAAGATAATTAAAAAGTGAATCTTAATGAAGAATGGGGGAGGGAGTAGAAGATGGGATGGTTTGCAGGTGGGAGGTAGTTATGGGGGGAAAACCGCTATAATCCAAAAATTGTACTTTCGACATTTATGTTTGTTAAATAAAAATTTTCTAAAAAACAAAACAAAACAAGCTGGCATCACAGGCTGCAGCTTAACTACCCACAGTACAGCAGACCGAGTTGTCAACCTTTTGTTGCAGGCAGAGGAAACCGAGGCCCCTTAGGGCAGGGTGTGGACTCCCCCTGTAACTCCCTTTCCTGGGCCCTCACCGCTGGCTTGCCCTCTGCTGACTACATCCTGAGTCAGGAGCCTCCCTGTCCAGCTGCTCGGGGAATAGGCTTATTTCCTGGAGGGTGGCTGGAGGAAGGAGAGGGCGGGGAACGAATGGACTCTGGAGAAACCAGGCTTGAGATAAGATAGGAATTCTTGTAAAATCAAGATTGATGCCGTGGGGAAAGAGGATAGGGCAGTCTAGGAAGTTCAGTAAGAATGTGGTCTCTGTGGCCCAGCCAGTTAAAGCCCTGGCCTGAGGCACCTGCATACCATATGGGCGCCGGGTTCTTGTCCCAACTGCTTCTCTTGCAATCCAGTTCTCTGCTGTGGCCTGGGAAAGCAGTGGAAAATGGCCCAAGTCCTCAGGCCCCTGCACCCATGTGGGAAACCTGGAGGAAGCTCCTGGCTCCTGGCTTCAGATTGGTGCAGCACCGGCCGTTGCGGTCAACTGGGGAGTGAACCAGTGATGGAAGACCTCTTTCTCCCTCTCTAACTCTGTCTTTCATTCAAATAAATTTAAAAAAAAATCTTAAAAAAAAAAGTGGTCCCGGCCGGCGCCACGGCTCACTAGGCTCATATCTCGGAGGTGCTCTGGACACCCTGAAGTCAACCTTGCTCAGAGGCCAGGTTGGTAGCCTCAGGGCAGTGGGTGCTGGTGGCCCTGGTTGTCACCTGTCACTCACTGACCGGGATATAGGAGTCTCTGGCTGAGGCAGAAGGCCTGCTCAGTAGAGGGCAGCCCAGAGACAAAGTCAAAGAGGGTGTGGGTGAGTCGGTGAGTCGTCCTCAGTATCTGCCCTGGGGGTGGACCACGCTCTGCCAAGTTCCCATCTCACCCCACCCTCCGTGTGCCTGCCTGGGACAGCCTGCATTAAGCTGTGATGTGGAAGAGAGACATTCATGTGTCAAGTCACTGGGGCTTTAGGGTTTCCCTGTTATAGATAGCATTCCCCTAACTAATACATCGTTTGTTTTCACTGTTAAATTTTTATTTAATTATTTTAGAGGGAGGGAGAGAGAGAGAGACAGAGAGACAGAGAGAGAGGAGACAGATAAGACAGAGGGTTCCCATCCACTGATTCACTCCCTAATGAGCCAGGAACCCAAGGCAGGTCTCCTTCGCGGGCGGCAGAGACCCAACTACTTGTGCCATCACCTGCTGCCTCCTGGGGTGTGTTGGAATCGAGAGCTGGAGCTGGGTCTGGAAACCAGGCACTCTGAGCCGCCATGCAGATGCACAAACTGGCAGCTTGGCTTCCGGGCCCCTCCCCGAGGAAATCACATGTTTGGAGGATAGGGGTCTGCCTTCTTCCTGGCAGCCCAGTCTCTGGTCCTCTTCCACATCTTCTGAAGATTTTTCATTGCACCATACCCAGGAATTATTACCAAATTGGGATTTGTATATATCTACATCTAACACACATACCTACAGGATTAGTTTCCGTGATTGATTGGTCTGATTTCCCCCACCAGATTGCACACCATGACTTAGAGGTGGCCTTGCCCTCGTGCAGGGGTGTCATTCATACGTCCAGAGCAGCAGTTGAGTCACCAGGAGCCCAGTGATTCAGAAGCTGGGACTCTCCCTAATCCACAGACTCCCTACTGATGTCAAAATAAATTGTGCAAGGGCGACCTCTATCGACCACAGGAACAAACTGCAGTTGCTCCCTGTGCCAGCCTGCTACATTTATTACTATGCTATTTATCCTCAAGGTTTTAACAACTACATCATCAAGGTGGGCATCATCACCCTTCCTTTATGTGCGAGGAAAAGGATGCTCAAGAAGTGAACCCACTCTCTGCGTTCTCACAGTGCAAGAGGTCCCACTGGGATTCAACGCAGGCCTGGCCCCTGCAGCTGGGTGGATCCAGCCCTGGCCCACTGGCATCACTGGGAGCAATGCAGACCTCAGGGCCCCGCCCACACTTAATGATGCCATCATGCATTCTCTGGAGAAGAAACTGGGTTTTCACATTTGTTTTGTAACCATGGCCTGTTACTTTTCTCTAAAGAAGACTTATTTGAAAGAGTTCGAGAGGAGGAGAGAAAGAGATCTTCTGTTCACTGGTTCATTCTCCAAATGGCTGCAATGGCCTGGGCAAGGCCAGGCTGAAGTCAGGAGCCCGGAATGCCGTCTGGCTCTCCCCGATGTGGGTGGCAGGGACCCAAGCACTTGGGCCATCTTCTGCTGCTTTCCCAGTGTATCAGTAGGGGTCTGGATTGGAAGTGGAGCAGCTGGGGCTGGAATCAGCACTCACATGGCAAACTGGCATCGCAGGAGGCAGTTTAACCTGCTGTGCAACGACGCTGGCCCCAAGCCCCGTTGCTTTTCCAAGTGCTTTCTGTACACTCACTCTTCTATCCTGTGAAGTAAATAAGGTCAGTGGTTGTCACCCCCATTTTAGAGATACAGAAACAGTCCTCGAGAAGTGAAGCCACTCTCCCAAGAGCCACAAGCCAGCAGTGGCCAGAAAGGGCTCTGGGATCTGGTGTTGGTGCCAGCAGGAGGCTTGAAGGTGACTGGGGTCAGAAACCACAAGCTGGCTGCGAGGGAGCCCCCCATCACCAGGTTATCCATGCGTGGTCAGAGTGCTGCCTGGCTCCTGCCTGATGACCCATGCGACCCTGGGCCCCGGCTTCTGCACAGCATGAATTCCAGTGAGGATGAGGCAGGGCGAGGGCTGCTGAGCACGTGCCAGACCCCATGAAGACGGCGGGTAGATGAGGAGCACAGGGTCCTGCCCCTACAGAGCTTAGGGTTCAGTGGGGGAGGCGGACACAGATCCAACGTCTACTAGCGTGGGGGCATAGGATGCATACACGGGTGGCTCTGGCTGTGCCTCCGAGTCTGCCTTTGGCACGGATAAAGCCTTTTCTTCTCTGTGGACACGTGGAGACCGGACTCCCAGCTTGTGCCCCCCTAGTTAGGCATGGGCCATGCCCAAAGCGCTCCTGCCCCCTAGCCCTTCCAACGTGTTTCCTTTGGAGAGGATAAGTTCCCTCCCCAGCTAGGAGGGCAACTGTGGGAGGAGGTGGGCTGGCTCCACTTGACCCAGAGGGCAAAAGGGAGCCACAGCAGACTCTTTAGCCCAGAACTGTTTAGCCTCACCTCTGCTGCTCCTCAGACCCAGGCAAAACGCCACCTGTTCCTCAAGTCATGTTCCTCCTACCTCAGGGCCTTTGCACATGCAACTCCCACTGCTTGAGCAGTTCTCCCCACCTGTTTATTTAGTTAATTCTCAATCATTACTCAGGGGCCAAACAACACTTTCTCCAGGAAGTCTTTCTGGATTCCCCAAATGCCAAGGCCCAAACAGAACATTCTGTATTTCCCCAGGAAGGGATACAGATGACCACAATTCACAAGTACATTCTTAGTGTGACTATTTGCTTAGCATCAGTCTTCCCAGCAGACTGAGAGCAGTCCCAGAGTCTGTTGCCAGTGATTTTCTTGCCAGCACTGAGTGTGGTGATTGGGTCTGTAACAAGGACAGCGAGGCCTGCTCAACCGTGCCTCTGAAAAGCCAGGGCATAGGTGCTTAGGGCTTGATGACCACCCCAAGATTCGTGGCTGGGGAGGGACAGGCAGCACGGAGCCAGTGTGAGGTCACAGGTGTGCGGGAAAGACAGAGAGAGGGCGTGACTCAAGGCAGAGGTAGCAGGCCTGGACACAGACATTCCCAGCAGGTGGCAAGGACTGACGGGATGGGGCAGAAAAGGGTTCCGCTTGGTGAAGGGAGCAAAGGGGTGTATTCCTGAGACAGCAGTCATGGACGAGGCGCCTTCTACAGCTCCAGCCCCTGGCTTTCTTCCTCCTACCAGCTGCCCCACCCCTGTCCCCAGCACCAGGCATGGGGCGTGAGCTCAGCAGCATGAATGCCTTTTATTACTCATCCTCCCTTCTCCAAGTGTGCACAAGTAGAAAAGAAACAGTGAACCATGCCCTGGCGGGGAGGGGGAGGACACGGGCGGGGCCCCTGAGGTTAGATGGAGAGGCCGGGTGCCAGCTTTCTCCCCTCTGCCGCACCCTGTGCAGAGGGTGCCCTCCTGTGCCCCTCAGTGTGAAACATAGCACTGGAGGCTGTGGCCAGCTGTCCCTCTGGCCGTGGCAGGAGGGCTGGTGTGCGCAGGAGGCAGAGAGGAAACAGCAGAGCAGGCTGGCCCTGGGCCAGGGAAGGACAGGCACCGAGAGGCAGTGTGGGAAAAGGCATCCTCCGGGCTGGAGACTCAGCAGGAGCCTAGCCGGCCACTCGCTCACGTTTGTGCCTCAGATCAGACAGCCCTGAGCGGGGCGCTGCACGGTAGGGGTCCCTCTTATGCCCAGTCTAGAGGTGTGGGGCAGGGGAGACCAAAGAAATGCTGGGGTTCCAGGAGAGGGAAGCCTGACTGGGGACCTGGGATTGGCTGGAGTGAGAGGGGACAGGTGAGAGAGGGGCCAAGCAGGAGTATGGAGTGGGGGCAGAGTGTCCTTGCTCACCCCGCCTGGGACAATTCAGGTGTGACTCAACATGAATGACAGGCTGCTGGGAGAGACACGAGGAGCTGACGAAGCTGATGAGAGGGTCTGGCATCCCCCGAATGAGAGAGAGAGAGACAGTTACACAGAGAAAATGGGCAGGAGGTGCAGCAGTGTTGGGGTGGGGGCGGGAAGCGAGTGAGCAGGATCCAGACTGGCAGGGAAGCCCCAGTGTCACCGCATCGGTGCCAACCCAGCTGCTTTTTCCCTTTTAGGGTTGGCTGGGGGCGAAGAGAAGTGGTCACTGAAAGATGTCCCGGAGCGTCCCCCGGCTCCAGGCCAGCCCAGCCTTCAGGGATCCCAGGCCTCTCCATCACACAGTCTGCAGCCTCTAGGAGAGGTCACCTGGAATCCGGCAGAAAAACAGCAGCCCCTCCCCGCCCGTGGGGAAGCTGATGGAGGAATACTCACAGCACCGTGGCCCGGGGCGGGCCCTGGCTTCGGAGCCGGGCTGGCACCGCTTGTAAACATTACACTTGGGAGATGTCCGGGGAGGAAGGAGGTGAGCCTGGACCATTGGGTTTAGAGAAGGAAAAAGGGTGGGGACCCTAAAGGCTTAGGAAGTGTTAATTGTCCATAGGGAAGAGGCTCCCAGGCTCCAAGCGGGCCCAGGAGTGGGTAAGCAAGGCCAGAATCCACCTGCGGCTGTACATTTGTATGATCTCAGTGCTACCATTGCAAGTGGCCGGATCCCAGAGGAAGCTCCTGCTTGCCACGGCTGCTGACGAGTTGGAGCAGGCGCTGAGCCCTATGGTAATGAGCGCAGCCCCTGCGCTGGACAGGCTACTCTGCGGAGGATGGCGGGCGGCCCCTTGCCAGAGCCTTCTCCAGAGGCAAGCGAGTCGGGCTTCTTTCCTCCGGCACTGATGGGTTCCAGGCATGGAGAAGCTGAAGAGGAAGGAGGCTCCTCTGGGATATGAGACCTCCTGCAGCACCCATGGCACTGCCAGGACTGGGGAGCAGGGAGGAAGCTGGATTGAGCTGTCCAGAGGTGTGAGGCCTGATTCTGCCCAGAACTGCTCCTTCAAAGGATGCCCGGATGTTGTCCCCCTGGATGGAATGCCGTTGGACTTGGGGTGGTCCCACTGCTCTAAGAGATAGGTTCCTGGGTCCAGTGGGAAAGGCCATGGGTTTCCTGGGAAGCAGTGGTTATGCCAAGAGATCCACAAAGATGGCGTTGGCTGTGGTCTGGCCGAAGATGAAGGCTCCCAGGGTGACCAAGAGGACTCCGTAACTGACCAGCGCCCACCAGCTGTAGGGCAGAGGGTGACAGACGCCTGATGAGTCGTCCCATTGTGTGACTCCGCAGATATCTGTAACAGTTACTGCAACTCTACCACCAGAGCACTCCTGACTTCCCCGGGCTTCTCTGTACAGAGATCCGTGGGGCCAGGGGTATTATCCCTAGCTCTCAGGCAAGGAGGTCACGATTAACTGACTGTTCACAGCACAGCGGATCAGAGTGCGGTGCTCCCAATGGAAGATGTTCAGGAAACAGCAGGTCAAATGGAATGTGATCATTCAAAAAAAAAAAAAAAAAAAAAAGAACAAGGAGCTGGTGCTGTGGTGCCGCAGCGTAAGTCGGTGCTGGCGATGCTGGCATCCCATCTGAGAGTGCTGGTTTGAGTCCCGGCTGCCCCACTTCCAATCCAGCTCCCTGCTAATGCACGTGGGAAAGCAGCGGAAGATGGATCAAGTACTTGGACCCCTGCCACCCACATGGGAGATCAGGATGGAGTTTCAGACTCCTGGCTTGGGCCTGGACCAGCTCTGGCCATGGTGACCATTTGGAGAGTGAATCAGCCTATGGAAGCTTTCTCTCTCTCTCTCTCTCTCTCTCTCTCTCTCTCTCTCTCCTTTTTTCTCTGTTGCTCTGCCTTTCAAATAAATAAATGAATCTCTAAGGGGAAAAAAAAAAAATCAGGGGCAGGCATTTGGTCCAGAGGTTAAGAAGCTGCTTAGGATGTCTCGTCCCACATCAGAGCGCTGAGGATTGAGTTCCAGATGTGTTACCTGTTTCATCTTTCTGGGAGGCTCAAGAAGTTGGTTCTCTGTCACCCCTGTGTGAGAACAGATTGAGTTCCTAGCTCCTGGCTTTGGTCTGGCCCAGCCTCAGGTATTGTGGGCATCTGGGAAGTGAACTAGTGGATGGGAGATCTCTAGCTCTTTGTCTCTGTGCCTTTCAAATAAATAAAAAAATTTTTTTATATTATTTATTTTCAATTAAGTGGCAGCTTAACCTGTGGTACCACAAAGCCTGCTCCAATAATTTTTTATTTTTTTACAGGCAGAGTTAGACAGTGAGAAAGAGAGACAGAGAGAAAGGTCTTCCTTCTGTTGGTTCACCCCCCAAGTGGCCACTACAGCCGGAGCTACACTGATCTGAAGCCAGGAGCCAGGTGCTTCCTCCTGGTCTCCCATGCGGGTGCAGGGCCCAAGGACTTGGGCCATCCTCCACCGCCTTCCCGGGCCACAGCAGAGAGCTGGACTGGAAAAGGAGCAACCGGGACAGGACCGGCACCCCAACTGGGACTAGAACCCAGAGTACCGGCGCCGCAGGTGGAGGATTAGCCTAGTGAGCCATGGCACCAGCCTCCAATAAATTTTTTAAAAAGGATTTATGTATTTATTTGAAAGATGGAGTTACAGAGAGGCAGAGGCAGAGGCAGAGGCAAAGAGAGAGAGAAATCGTCCATCTACTGGTTCACTCCCCAAATGGCTGCAGTGGCCAAAGCTGGGCCAATCTGAAGCCAGGAGCCAGGAGCTTCTTCCAGGTCTCCCATGTCGGTGCAGGGGCCCAAGCACTTGGGCCATCCTCTACTGCTTTCTCAGGCCATAGCAGAGAGCTGGATCGGAAGTGGAATAGCCAGGTCTTGAACCAGTGCCCACATGGGATGCTGGCACTGCAGGTGGTGGCTTTACCCACTACGCCACAGTGCTGGCCCCATGCCCCAATAAATTTTTAAAAAGAAAAATCACATTTTTAAAAAAAGTAAGAATAAGTCACCTGTAATCTCAGTACCCCCTCATAATCCTGCTGCTATTTCTAGTAAGTATGATTACAGATGTCTGCTTGTTTTCTTTTTTTGAATTTAAACACTTGAGTGGGGTGGCAGGGGGCAGAGAGTGCCCATCTACGGGTTTACTCCCTAAGTGCCTGCAACAGCCTTGACTGAGCCAGGCCTGAAACCAGGAGATGAGAACTCAGTGCAAGCCTCCCACAGGGGTGTGAGGACCCCACCTATCTGAGCCAGCACCTGCTGCCTCCAGGGTGTCCATTAGCAGGAGTGAAGCCAGGGAGCCACCCCAGGCACTCTGATACGGGATGCAGGCATCCCAACTGGGGTCTTACCTGCCAGGCCAAATGCCCATCCTGACTTTTTTTTTCTTTTTAAATCATGTAACTTCCTTTCAGCCTCTCTACTGTTCAGGCAAAAGTACCTATGAAAACAATGTAATGTTTTTCACCCAAAAGACCAACAAATTTTAAAAAGGCTGCTACATATAGGGCTGGCAGTAGTGGAAAGGATATTCTCACCCCCTGCTGCTGGGACTGTTAGCTGACACTGTCTTTTTTTTTTTTTTTTTTTGACAGGCAGAGTGGACAGTGAGAGAGAGAGAGACAGAAAGAAAGGTCTTCCTTTGCCGTTGGTTCACCCTCCAATGGCCGCCACAGCCAGCGCGCTGCGGCCGGCGCACCGCGCTGATCCGAAGGCAGGAGCCAGGTGCTTCTCCTGGTCTCCCATGGGGTGCAGGGCCCAAGCACTTGGGCCATCCTCCACTGCACACCTAGGCCACAGCGGAGAGCTGGCCTGGAAGAGGGGCAACCGGGACAGAATCCGGCGCCCCGACTGGGACTAGAACCTGGTATGCCGGCGCCGCAAGGTGGAGGATTAGCCTAGTGAGCCGCGGCGCCCGGCTGACACTGTCTTTTTGGAGGGTAATTCAACCCATGTGCCAAAGAACAAAGAATCTCTCCTGTGACCCAGCAACTTCCTTTCCTTCTATTTATTTATTTATTTATTTTAAGATTTATTTTATCTGAAAGGCAGAATCACAGAGAGAGAGCTCTTTTATCCGCTGGTTCACTCCTCAAATGGCTGCAAGGGCTGGAGGTGAGCTGCCAGGAGCTTCTTCTGGGTCTCCCACACAGGTGCAGGGGCCCAAATACTTGGGCCATCTTCTGTTGCTTTCCTAGGCACATTAGCAGGGAGCTGGATGGGAAGTGGAGCAGCCGGGACACAGACCAGCACTCATATGGGACACCAGCACCGCAGGCGGCAGCTTTACAAGCTACACCACAGTGCCGACCCAGCCACTTCCTCCCCACCCCCCATCTCATAATACAGTATTTGTCTGTCTTCCCTCTGTCAAACCCTGAGCCAACCACTTTCCTCAGGTTGCCCGCGAAGGTATAGAAAAAGGAACACACAGGGCAGACAAGGCAAGGGACAAAGAATCATGGGAGGTGGTGAAGAGGATGAGAAAGGCCAGCATCAGGCAGAAGAGCCCAGGGCCTCTGAGAGCGCAGGGCCCAGAATTGCGCAGAAGAGCTGCTGCTTCAGGGAGGGGTTCCTGGCATAACCAATGATGAGGCTCCCAAATACAGTCCCAATCCCAGCCCCAGAGCCAGCCACCCCAGCCATGGCAGCCCAGCCCCAGTGAACTTGGCTGCTGTGTCAATGTCCCTTGAGATGGTGCTGGCTGGGAATCTACGGCTCTGGAGAAGTGAGCTCAGGGGACACGGGACCGCCAGGCTGCTCGGATGCTCATCCCTCAGTGTCTCTGGTCTTCAGCACCACCGCAGACAGTGGCCGGCTCAGCAGCTGTGAGTACTCCTGACCAAGGGGGGGTGTGGCGACCAACTTGGAAGAGGCATACATTGTCAGGGTGTGAGGGCTGTAGCATGAGAGCTACAGAGTGCAACTTCCTTTTAAGAACCAATTCTGAAAGCTGGCATTGTGGCATAACAGGTTAATTGCTGCCTGCAGTGCCGGCACTGGTTTGAATCCTGGCTGCTCCACTTCAGATCCAGCTCCCTGCTAATGTGCCTGGGAGAGCAGTGGAGGATGGCCCAAGTGCTTGGGCCCCTGCACCAGCATGGGAGACCTGGAAGAAGCTCCTGGCTTCAGACAGGTCCAGCTCCAGCCACTGCAGCCATTTGGGGAGTGAACCAGGGGATGGAAAATCTCTCTCTCTGCCTCTCCCTCTCTGTAACACTGCCTTTAAATAAATAAATAGGGGCTGGTGATGTGGCGCAGCGGGTTAAAGCCCCAGCCTGGAGCACCGGCATCCCATGTGGGTGCTGTTGGAGTCCCGGCTACTTCACTTCTGATCCAGCTCTCTGCTATGGCCTGGGAAAGCATTGGAAGATGGTCCAAGTCCTTGGGCCCCTGTACCTGCATGGGAGACCTGGAAGAGGCTTCTGGCTCCTGGCTTTGGATCAGCTCAGCTCTGGCCATTGTGGCCATTTGGGGACTGAACCAGCGGATAGATCTCTCTCTCTTTTTCTGGCTCTGCCTCTCTCTGTAACTCTTTCAAATAAACAAAATAAATCTTAAAAAAAAAAAAAAACCAGATAAATAAATAAATCTTTAAATAAAAAAAAATACTTTAGGGGTGGGCGCTGTAGTGCAGCAGGTTAAGCTGCTGCTTGCAACGTTAGCATTTCGTATCAGCACTCGTCAGAGTCCTGGCTGCTCCACTTGTGATCCAGCTTCCTGCTAATAAGCCAAGGAAAGCAGGGGATGATGGCCCAAGTGCTTGGGCCCCAAGCATCCACAGGGGAGACCAGGATGGATTTCTTAGCTCCTGGCTTTGTCCTGGCCCGGCCCTGACTGTCCCTGCCATCTGAGGAGTGAACCAGTGGATGGATGACCTCTCTTTGTCCCTAACTCAGCCTTTCAAACAAAAAGGTCTTAGAAAAAAACAAACAAACAAACAAACTAATCTCTTAAAAATATTTTAAAAGCCCCATCATTTCTAAAGTACACAAGTTTTCTAGCTCTGCACCTATGTTAAGGCTTCCCCAGTGCCCATTCCCTTATCCTGCCACCCCCACCTCCCCAAAAGCACCAGGGGCTGTGGTCTGCTTTACCTGGCTGGTTTGACTTCCTCCATCTCAGAAAGCTTGGCTTGAATGAGGCACAGCCCTGGAAAAGAAGAGGTGGCCCTGAGAGTCTGGGGGAGGGGACTTCCTCCCTCAGGTCCAGCTTCCCCTTCACCCAGAGGCGGTGGCCTTGGACGGACAAAGGCCCAGTGGTCGGCCTGGCCTCTACCCTCCCAGGGGAGGCCTATGTCCGACCAGCACCCCTCATCAGAACTGAAGGGATAGCGCTGCATGGTGACCCCGTGCAGCCCACAGCTCAGGGCCCTGAGCACACGGGGCGCCCCTGTTCCAAGCAGAGTGGCCTCCCAGCTGGCAACAAGCTGGGGACAGGTGGAAGTCGTGGCTGGCGGACAGGATGGCTTCTTGGGATCCAGCAGCAGACCTGCGTCTGGAACGCAGGCCTGGTGACTTCTGTGGTCAGGGTGGCACCACGGACCCCCTGCCCTCTGGGCTGCCACAGGCTGAGCTGGCCAGACACTCAGCAGTCAGGGAGGTGGGGACGCCAGCAGACAGAGGACAGGATCCGGACTCAGGCAGGCCTGGGTCTGCAGTGCAGTGTGTCTCACTAGGTGACTCTGGCTACCTCCCCTCTGACAGGTGCGGGGCAGATGGCGACGACACCCAGGTCCCCAGGGCCGAGAGCTGTGGTTTGGGACGTGGGAAGCTGAGGCCCAAGACAGGGTCCCAACCTGGGAAGACGAAAATGAAGCAGGCGGCCAGGCCTCCGATGACCGAGATGACCTTGCCGATGTCCGGGATGAAGAGCGCCAGCAGCAGCGTGAGCAGGAACCACAGCAGCGTCTGTAGCACTCGCCGCCGCCGCTCCCGCCCCACGTCCTCCTCCACGGGCAGCCCCTGGTAACGCAGCCACAGGCCTTCCACCACCGCCCTGCCACAGAGAGGGAGGCGCTCAGGAGCGCCCCTGCTGACCGCCGCCCGCTGCGCGCTCACACAAGCCAGAGCCCTCCCGGGCAGCCTGTGGGTGAGAGGCATTTCCTCTCCTGGGAAATGGGCCTTGGCTGCCGAGGGCAACGGATGCAATGCTGTGAATTCAGGGCTTGATGCTTTGTCTCCCCGCGTGGAAAGCGCCAGTTATTCTCCTTAGGTCTTGTCTGGGGCACCCAGAGGGCTGTGCGTCCACGCAGAAGCTCAGGGAAGGCGAGGGACTAGGGCTCCCTAGAGGACTGAGGGCATGCGGGTGACTCAGGGACAAAAGGGCCCTGAGCCCCAACTGGGGGTACGTGGTGGGGCTGTCTCAGGCAGGGACTCTTTTCTGCGGGCTTGGTCTCTCCTACAGAATGGGGCACACAGGGTCAAAGGACCACGCTGCATGCGCTCACAGGGCCCCAGCGGCGTGGGGAGGGGGCTCACCGCCCACAGAAGTGCAGGATGGGGTAGGAGGTAAGCACGCTCAGGATGATGAAGGCTCGGGCAACGGCCACCGCCATGTCCTCCGAGGGGTAGGACAGGAGCACGTCGGGGTCCACGGCAGCCCCGAAGGTCAGGAAGCCACAGACACCTGTGGGAAGGGCAGGAGGGGCTGGGTGAGGGCGGCCCTGGCAGGCAGAGGGAATGGACCGTCCTCTCCTGCTGGTGCAAGGCCAGCTGGGGCGCACGCTGATCCTGGGCGTGCCCAGCGCGTTCCAGTCTTGGAGCCTCTGCGTGACCGTTCACCCACCCAGGTCCTCGAGCTGCCGTCCTGTCACTGAGGTCTCAGCTTGTGCGTCCCCTCCCCAGCCCAGCCCCATCAGCCCGGCAGAGGCACCTGCTTACATCACCTTGTTCCATTTTCTTCCTAGCACTCGGCTCTGATTCTAGTTGTTACTGGAGCATTGTCTGCCTTCCCCACAAGAGCCCTGGGGAAGAGGCACTCTGCCTCCAGCGTTCCCGGCTGTCTTCAGAGGCTAGCCGGGGGCTGGCCCAGCTCACCCACAGCAGGAATTACCCACAATTCTTCCGGGTCTCCCAGCCTGCCCCTCACCCACATCAGCCTACCCGTCAAAGCTGGCTTTCACTGAGCCACGCCCCCCTGAGGAAAACACTTCCTCTCTGGCTCCTGACAGCTCTCAAGGCCCTGTCACCTGCCTGGCCTCACTGCACTCCAGCCACACAAGACCCCGTTGGCACTATGTGCTTCCTGTCAATGTGCTTCCTGTCAAGAGCATTCTTCTCCCAACTTTTTCGTATTCGACCTCCTTCTCATCATTTGGGTTCCTCCAAACGCCACCTCCTCAGATAGCTCGAGAGGAGCTATCTTTGAACCACCCCCAAAGCTAGCCCCTCCCGCTCCCATTCGCATCCTCCTTGCTTCACTGTCACCAAGGCACTTGCCATTGTCCCAAGCGCCTGACTTCTTGTTTGCTCACGCACTAATGTCTCTGTGACAAGAGACTACCAATCCCACAGGGCAGGACTGGGTCTGGCTGTCTCCATGGCCCTTCTCAGAACAGGTCTCATGCTGAGAACAGGTCTTCGCACTTAGCAGGCATCAATTTAAACTGAGGAATGAATGGGGTAAATACACGCTTTCCTAGGCAAGAGGTGGCCTAAGACAGCCCAAGTTCAAGTCAGGGCCCACAGAAGTGTTTTGCCATGTTGGAAGTGCAGGGCTGTCCCCAGGAACGCGAGGCCACAGGACCTGGGAACTCGAGGTGGGAGCACTCACCTGTGCCCATGTACACAGCGAGGGCAATGACCATGGCAGCTGTCACCACGCCGCCCCAGGTCTTCACCTCGGGCCTCCGCATGCTGTTGAAGACGGGCACACTGCTCACGTGGCACTGTTCGTGTGAAGGACAGGATCATGGTGGGGGAGGGAACTCGCCCCAGTTGCTAAAGGGAGCTACCCTGAGGACCAAGATGACGGGGACTGGGGTGGGTGTTGTGGCGCAGCGGGTCAAGCTGCCATCTGGGATGCTAGAAACCCATATGGGAGGGCTGCGGTTTGAGCCTGGCTCCTCAGCTTCCAGTCATGCTTCCTGCTAATGCGCCTGGAAAGGCAGCAGGTGACGGCCCAAGTGCTTGGGCTCCTGCTACCCAGGTGGGAGACCTAGATAGAGTTTTTGGGTCCACTTTGTCCTGGCTCAATCCCAGCTGCTATGGGCAATTGGGAAGTGAACAGATAGGTGGAAGATCTTTCTCCTTATCATTCTTCCATTCAAATAAGTAAATTTTTTTAAAGACCCTAGGGACAAGGGATCTTATCTTGGGGGTCCCTGATTCATCTTTCCCCCAGGACTCCCCCATCCCATTTAATGTGGGTTTCATCCCATGGTTGGGGGTAAGCTGAGGGGATGGCAGGGACCTTGCAAATGGCACCTGAAATCCAAAGCAGATGGTGGGCATGGCATTGAAGACCGCCATCCAGGAAGCTGGCCTGCGGACAAACACGGGAGGTGCTGCTGCTGAGGAAGCCCTCGGGGCCATCCACAGTCCCCACACCCTCACTCTTCACTCCCCGCACCAACCCCTCCAGCCACCCGTGGTCTACCCAGGTACCCTCCCCGGGTCCGGGAATGGGGACACGAGCCATTTCCATTTCACAAGTCGGCACACTGAGGTTCTGAAAGGCCCTCAGGGCACCAAAATGCAGAATTCTTGGCTCCTGAATTCTTTTATGTTTCTGGTTTGTTCCTCTCAAAAAAAAAAAAAAAAAAAAAAAGGTGGTGGTGGTGGTGGGTTTTAAATGACAAAGTCATCCTCTTTTGGAAGATGCAGAAATTACAGATAAGCCCAAGTTGGAATGATGTGCATTTCCACCTTGGCAATCTCGCACTGGCTCACCTGCTGACTGTCACGTGGTTCTCATGGACCTCCTGCTTTCTTCCTACCGTGGCCAGAGTCAGCCCTGATGAGCCAAGAGGCCTCAGGAAGGACACTTGTGTGGCCTCTGCATGGCTGACCCAGCACCTCCTGGGCCCTACGTGGTGGCTTCTACCCCAGATGTCTCCCGGAAACCCCCACTCACCTGGTTAGGATGTCTCCGGGAGTCATCTCCTTATCTGGCCAGATGTATTTGATGATAATGATGGCGGTGACGTACCAGGTACCCACAACGCTCAGGAAGCTGTGGGGAGGGAGAGACTGAGCTGCGTCCTCCCCAGCCTCGGCTGCAGGGGTGTCCACCCTCAGTTCGGGGACCACAGGTGTCCACTGAACACTGGGGCAACTATGCCAAGCAGAGACTCAGGTAACGTCTGAGGAACAAGTTTCAGAGAAACTGGACAGCGAGGAGGGAGCTGGACAGCGAACAGGCACTTTATCGGCACTTCTGGCTCAGAGACCACGACGGAGAGCTGAGATCCCAAGCGCATCTGTGACTTCGATCGGAGGAGCGAGGGCTGCTCTCAGGCCACCCTCAGCCTGGCCCTGGAGAACCAGGACGTGGTGCAGGGGAAGCACTCAGATACAAATTCTACAATATTAACACTTAACAGGGACCTTGGAGACAGCTGGGTGTGACCCCTCCATTTGCAGACTGGGAAACACAGAATCCCACTGCTCTCCAGACGCTGAGCCAGGAAGCCAGTCTCCTTCCTTCACACCGAGCTGCGTGGAAGGTGCTGGTACGCTGACCATCTCAAATGATCACAGAGCTCATCCTCCCACGGAAAGCCAAGGTCCAGGCCAGCCAGAGCTGGCTTCACCCCCAACAGTCACTCATCCCTTCTGGCCAGGACACTAAGAACTGAATCTCTCTGATGCAAAGGGCCGCCGTCCCCCTTGATACGGCAGAAAAGGAGGGCCTTAAGCCTGAGACCCTGCAAGCCCTGGTCCGCCCTGCCTTGCCCACTCCTGCCGACCAGGAGGATGAGGTGGTGTGGAGGGGAGGGGTCCCCAGCAACCCTTGGGTCTCTAGCTGTCTGTGATCAGAACTTCCCTCTGGGCCAGCTGGGGTGGGGCCTCCGAACCTGGCGTATTTCTGGAAGCCGATCTCCCTGGGGATGGAGAGGGGGAGGATGAAGAGGAAGGCAGTGAGGCTGATGGTGAACTTGCGGTCTGTGTACCAGGGGCCGCCACCGGCTCCGTCAGGCTCCTTTGCCATCACGGCTATAACTGCACAGGCAAGAGAAGGGACTGTCACACTCTCCTGCTCTGCTGGACCCCAGGACCTCCCGCTCTCTAGTGGGCCCAGCAGCCTGCAGGCAGGAATCCCAGGTGGACGGTGGTCCCAGGAAAAGTCCTGGGTAGCTGTTCGGTACCTTTCCCTCCACCCAAGATCCCCAGGGCTGAGGGGGAGAGATGAAGTAGGAACCGAGGGGGGTCCTCACTCTTGTCCTGCTGGTCCCCGATGATGATGAGGAAGGCAATGCAGGTGCCGAAGGTGTAGACGGCGATGGCCACCTCACACAGCACGCCCGTCAGCTTGCCACACACAGCCCACACCACCTCCTGGTACGTCCGCTCATTGCTGGCCTGGGAGCAGTAGGCCAGGACGACGAGCCCGCTGATGATGAAGACCAGCATGCCCTGCAGCAGGGGCAAGAACAAGGGTGTGTAGCAAAGGCCTGGCAGCCAAGGGCCCCACTGGGCTCCCCTAGCACCCACTGGGCCAGTGCTGAAAGGGGGCTTGGCAAATAGGTCTCATCTCACAGGGCAGTTTTATTAGACTGCTAGAGGGTGCCAAGCCAAGATATTCTTTAAGAACAAGTTGTATAAAATAGCTTAAAACATACAAAAGTAGAGAGAATAACACAATGGGCCCCAAGTGCCTCTTATTCAGCTTTAAAGGTGATTAATTTGTGGTCAGTCTTGTTTCATCTTATTCCCCTTCCCGCTCAGGGTTATTTTAAAGGCTATACAAGCAATCATGTCATTTCATCAGTAAAAACTTTACTATGTAGTTCCAAGTGATAAAGGTAGTCTTTTTCAACGTAATTTCAAAGTCATTTTAACACCTAAAAAATTGAATATGCAATTGACATTCAAGTTCCTCTGCTTACTGGGAAGGCGTCTGAAGCCTCACTGGGGCCCGGAGGAGGAAAAGCTGGAATAGATTAGTAATGTGTGCCGGGTATGAGGGATGGAAGAGCACTAGTGTGTGTCACCTGGTGAGACCCCAGTCCGAGGCCTCCCCTTGAAGGCATAAAGCCCACCGGCCATGCACCTCTGCTCTCCGGGCCAGCATACTCACCATCTGAAGTGTGACGCCAGCCGCCACGCCCCCGGCCGTGCTGAAGGCTGCTGGGAAGTTGAGCAGCCCCGCGCCCAGGCAGGCATTGACAACGATGAAGACGGCCCCAAGCGTAGAAGTGGTGCCTGTGCCTGGGCCCCCAGGAGAGGTGTCCCCCTCGTTCTTGGGAGCCGTCTCCACACAGGGACTCTGCAGCAGGCGGGCCCGCTCCCCGGCATCTGCGCTCACTCCCCACTCGCTGTAGTCACTGTTGATGCTGACCTGGGCCATGGCCCCAGGAGCCCTCTTCTTGCAGGGGACGTGGGGGTTCTGCCTCACGACCACATCCCCTGGGCAGCCTGTTCGCAGCTATTGTCCCAGGAGGACTCTTCTCAGCCTGGATGGGACAAAGGCAGGCGTGACGTATCCCGAGATGGGGAAGATGGGGCACAGAAGGGTCAACTAACTTTCGGAAGAGCACACGGTTTGGATCCAAACTCGGAAGCGCCTCTGGGCAGAACACTGCACTGGGGGCCATGGTCAGGGGTGGCAGAGATAGACACACGTCAGCTGCAAAGGCTGCTTGCTTTAGGTTTATGGACTCACAGGGCAAATAAAACGTTAAACATAAATGAGGAGCACTAAATCGTCTGAGCTGGACAGAGGTCACGCGCTGGGCAGGTGCGTCAAGGGCACTTCTTAGCTCAGTCAATGGCCTCTTGGTCTAAAGGTCCAGAGGGCTCACATCACTGACCCAGGATCACAGATCAGCAAGCTGTAGTGCAGGTTCTGAATCCAGATCTGTCTGGCTTCCCAGCCTGTTTCCACACCACAGGGTCCTGAGAGGAGCCCTCACTAAGAACTGTGGTGTCTCGGGTTCTAGTCCCGGTCGGGGCGCCGGGTTCTGTCCCGGTTGCCCCTCTTCCAGGCCAGCTCTCTGCTGTGGCCCGGGAGTGCAGTGGAGGATGGCCCAAGTACTTGGGTCCTGCACCCCATGGGAGACCAGGAGAAGCACCTGGCTCCTGCCTTTGGATCAGCGCGGTGTGCCGGCCGCGGCAGCCATTGGAGGGTGAACCAACCGCAAAGGAAGAACTTTCTCTCTGTCTCTCTCACTGTCCACTCTGTCAAAAAAAAAAAAAAAAAAAAAAAGAACTGTGGTGTCTCAACACAACACGGCACCGCACGCCTCCCTCCAGTCCGGAGCATAAATCCTGTGTGGCTCTCCAGGTCTAACAAAACTCGGGGCAGCTCCTGCTCTTGTCCCATGAGACCAGAGCCCCGTACCAGTCACAGCTGTGTCCTCAGGAAGACAATGATTAATCCTGGGCGTGGCATCCCCTGGCCCCTCTGCCAGCCACCCTCTGACGTCCCATTTCTTCCTCACTTCCTTGGACACTTTCTGAGCTCTTCTTGGAGCCAGCCAGGGGCCCGGCACCACACAGGCTGGCTTCCTCTCAGCACTGTCTCATGTGTTAGTAGGGTCGCTCTGTGGTGCTAGACTATGAGGCTCTGGGACCCAACACGTGGTGTTTATGGTTACTGTCACCTGATAGCGCCTCAGCTACAGAATGCTTTATCTCATACAATCTTCAGTACGGCTGTAAAAGGTACACATGAGTGTCCCCAGTGAGGAGACTGAATCACACAAGCATTAAGTGCTCTACCCTGGGTCATATGGCTGTCAGTGTTGGGCTGGGATCAAACCCAGGCCAGATGATTTTTTTTAAAAGACTTATTTGTTCATTTGAAAGTCAAAGTTAGGGGGTAGGAGGGGAGAGTTATCTTCCACCTGTTCATTCACTCCTCCAGATGGCCTCAATACCATTAGCAGGGTGCTGGATAGGAGGCAGAGCAGCCGGGACCTGATGTGGCACCCATCTGGGATGCTGGTGTCGCAGGCAGCAGCTTGTTTTTTTTTTTTTTTTTTTTTTTTAAGATTTATTTATTTATTTGAAAGTCGGAGTTAAACAGAGAGAGGAGAGGCAGAGAGAGAGAGAGAGAGAGAGAGAGGTCTTCCATCCGCTGGCTCACTCCCCAGATGGCCACAATGGCCGGAGCTGTGCTGATCCAAAGCCAGGAGCCAGGAGCTTCTTCCAGGTCTCCCACGTGGGTGCAGGGGCCCAAGGACTTGGGCCATCTTCCACTGCTTTCCCAGGCCATAGCAGAGAGCTGGACAGGAAGTGGAGCAGCTGGGTCTCGAACCGGCGCCCATATGGGATGCCGGCACTTCAGGCCAGGGCGTTAACCCACTGTGCCACAGCGCTAGCCCCGAGAAGCTTTGGTTTTATCTACCATACCACAGTGCCAGCCTCCAAACCCAGGCCTGACTGACCCAAGAGCTTCCATCTGCTCATATTTGCCTCTCCCCTGGGCCCAAGAAGGTACTGTGGACATATAACAGCCTGTCACCCGATCCACTCTCTCTACTCTCTGCATAAACACAGGTGAGCTGTGGATTCTCTTGGGCCTCTGTCCTCTTTCCTGAAGACTAGGAGGAAGCAGCTTTCCAGAATCTGGAGGAGCTTGGAGGAGCCCAGCCCTGAAAACGACTCTCAGTGTTCTGAAGGCTCGGCTCACGGCCCGAGATCTCCAAGACAGACGGTGGGCTGAAAGAACCAAGTGCACCCCCAGACCCACCGGAGCGGTGAGCGTGGAGGGGCTGTGATGTGGACTCCGAGCCGGAGTGCTGGCTCTTCTACTTCCTAGCTGTACAGCCTTGGGCAAGCCACACCACCTCTCTAAGTCCTCACATCTTAAGTTCCTGTGAGGACTGTGTTAACATTAGCAAAGGTAGTACTCGATAAATGGTCATTTGCAAATGTCCCTTCCCATAATGCCTATCCCCACCAAGCAGAGAGCAGAAAACTGTTCAAAACCGGGGCCTAGGGCCTGTGACACCAGCTTCCCAAATGGGTGCTGGTTCTTGTCCTGGCTGTTCCACTTCTGATCCAGCTCCCTGCTAATGAGCCTGGGAAAGCAGCAGAAGATAGACAAGTGTTTGGGCCCTTGCCACCTATGTGGGAGACTGGATGAAGCTCCTGGCTTTGGCCTGGCCCAGTGCTGGTTGTTGTGGGGAGTGAACTACTGGATGGAAGATCAATTTCTGTTTCCTCCTCTTTCTGTAACTCTGACTTTCAACATAAATAAATAAATCTTTAAAAGGAAAAAAAGGAAGCAGAGGCAAAGTGGGTAGAGGAGTCAGAAGCCGCCTCCTTAGAGGCTGCCGTTGGCTGCTAATCACACACCGGCTGGGGATATCAGCCAAAGACTCCTCTCCCAGAGTCTCCTCATTCCTGAGTCCCAAGCCCAGGGTGTTCATACAGAACTCTGCATTTTATTCTCTACTGACCCCTCCCTGGTGTACTCTTTAAAAAAAAAAAAAAAGATTTATTTATTTAGTTATTTGAAAGGCGGAGTCAGAGAGAGAGAGGTCTTCCACCTGCTGGCTCATTCCCCAAATGGCTGCAATGGCCGAAGCAGGGACGATCTGAGGCCAGGAGCCAGGAGCTTCTTCTGGGTCTCTCACATGGGTTTCAGGGGCCCAAGCACTTGGGCCTCTCCCACTGCTTTTCCAGGTCATTAGCAGAGAGCTGGATTCAAAGAAGAGTAGCCAGGACACAAACTGGTGCCCACATGGGAAGCCGGCACTGCAGGCGGAGGCTTTGCCTACTATACCACAACACTGGCCCATGGTTTACTTTTAATAATCTGTGGCCGGGCTGGCGCTGTGGCATTGTGGGTAAAGCCACTGCCTGTAGTGTTGGCATCCCACATGGATGCTGGTTTGAGTCCTGGCTGCTCCACTTCTGATCCAGCTCTCTGCTATGGTCCGGGAAAGCAGCAGAAGATGGCCCAAGTTCTTGGGCCCCTGCACCCACGTGGGAGACGTGGGAGACGTGGAAGAAGCTCCTGGCTGCAGATCGGCCCAGCTCTGGCTGTTGCGGCCATCTGGGGAGTGAGCCAGCGGATGGAAGACTTCTCTCTCTCTCTGCCTCTCTGTAGCTTGAGCTTCAAATAAATAAATATATCTTTAAAAAATAACCTGTGGGGAAGAGAAGGGAACTGACTAAAGCATAGTGACTGAGCCCTCCACTGTCTATTAAAGGGCCAGCCCTCTGAGGTTCTTAGCCCACTGGGGGTTTAGAATGGCTAATGAGGCCTCTTGGGATGCTGTTTGTTGCTCCTGCGGCTGATGGACAAAGCTGCGAACCGTGCACGCATGAAAGAGGGACGTCTGGGTGCTCTCAGACACCCGTCGTCAGGCGTGTAACCAAGGGACCCTGCTCCAGAGGAGACTTCCCTCTGTTGCCTCCAAATCCAAAAATATCAAAAGCTGCAAAACTTCTTCCTCTTACGCAACTTGCCACTCAGCCAGCAACTCAGCAGAAAATCAAAGCAGTGAGCAGTCAAGGCAGAGTCCTGGGGCTGCCAGGTTTCCAGCACAGTGTCAGCTCCACCCTGCTCACGTTACACAGAGGTCTCCAGGGTGAGGCTTGGTGCAGCATCTTCCCCCTGCCCCCCTCCTGTGCCATCATCCGCCACCACCCAGGAGCTCAGGCTGGGTGGTCCAAGATCTCCCGGCCCCCACCCCACCAATACTAGCTGCACTGCTCCCAGCTTACCTGCTGCACCGCGGTGCAGGAGGGTTGCTCCTTCTGAAAAGTCGGGGGTCTGATTCTCCCCACGTCCCTCTCTAGCCCCAACTGCTTCTTCCCCAAGACTTTACCTGAAATCTGCTGTCAGCAGAGAGAAGAGTTTGGGCTGTCTCCCTGCGGGCTTCGGCAGGGTTGGGGGAGCTGGGAGGCCGGATCAGACAAGGATACAGATGGTGGAGAGGGAATGTCAGACTAGGGGCGTAGTGGGCAGTGGCAACGCCAGTGCTGCAAGCCCGATGCCCACAGGCTCAGGACAGATATGCAACCGTTGCTGTGGGCCCCGCAGATCCCCAGCGGAGCGGGTTCCCTGTCCAGCCAGGGGCTGGAGCCCCGAAATACGAGGGATGGGCTGCAGGGAGGTGGGCTAGGGTGCACACGGAGCAGGGTGGAGGGGGCCAATCCCCAGGCCTGACGCGAGGCGGGTGGGCTTCCATGGGACACAGGGTAGGGAGGAGCCCCGGGACTCAATCCCGGCCTAAGACTAGGTGGAGACCGCGAGCCAAGGCGCGGCGGAGCCGGCGCAGCGGAGGCAGGCGTGGGGCAAGGACCGGCCCGGAACCCTGCAAGGAACTAGGCGAACTCTGCCGCGGTGGGTACTCCAAGGACCCGAGGACCTAAGGTTCCCACCACCTCTACCTTCTACCACCTACCTACAGCGCTTCATTCCCGAGCTGGCTGCCGAGACACGTGAGCTTGAATCACATGACCTCCCGGCTTGGGCGGCCGCGGGTTACCCTGGGAGTTGTAGTTTTCCGCAGGTGAACATCTTGGATCCCAGCCCCGTCCCCGCCCCCCCTCCATCCCTCCACCTGACTACACTGTCCTGAGCCAGCCTGGCGCCCAGCCAGCCCATGTGTGTTTTTCTGAGGCCTGGCATCTTTGCCAGGGCAAACATGGCTCCTTTCTCCTAGGGATCTTTGCGAGTCCCAGGACAGCAGGCCAAAGTGATTTGGCCTCATTGTCACCTGTATCGTTGGTGTCTTCAGGTCTATGACCAATGACCCTGGAGTTTCTTTTATTGAGGACTCTGGATCCCTAGACCTACCTACCTTCCTTCCTTCCTTCCTTCCTTCCTTCCTTCCTTCCTTCCTTCCTTCCTTCCCTCCCTCCCTCCCTCCCTCCCTTCCTTCCTTCCTTCCTTCCTTCCCTCCTTCCTCCCTTCCTTTCTTTTTAAAGATTTATCTATTTATTTGAAAGGCAGAGTTACAGAGAGAGAGAGAGAGAGAGAGAGAGGTCTTCCATTCACTGATTCACTCTCCAGATGGCTGCAACTGACGCTGCTGGGCTGATCCGAAGCCAGGAGCCAGGAGCTTCTTCCAGGTCTCCCACAGGGGCTCAGAGGCCCAAGGACTTGGGTTATGTTCTACTGTTTTCCCAGGCCATAGCAGAGAGCTGGATCAGAAGTGAAGCAGCCGGGACTCAAACCGGCACCCATATGGGATGCGAACACTGCAGGCAGTGGCTTTACCCACTATGCCACAACGCTGGCCCCCACGGTGCTTTTTAGCTGGGACTAGAATCTAGGCTGTCTGATATGGGGTATGGGTGTCCCAACGCTGTGTCTTAACTGGTGTACTGAAGTACTTGCTCCAGAACTCCTGCTTTCAAGTAAGACCAGATGCTAGCTCTCAGGAGAAGTAGACTCATATTCATACTATATACATTTTGTGAGTTTTTTGTAAGGCAGTCTGTGTTGGCCTCCATGTCAGCAAGAGAGTTGTTCATTTATTTCCTAAGCCTGCCAGCCCACTTACTCTCTTTTGTCTTTTTCTTCCTTGATCTTTGTTTTGAGTTATTGATGTTAGTGATTTCAATCTATGTGGCAACCTGCGTCCAAACTTTTGTGCTAATATTTACTTTTGGTGTGCTCATTTGTCTTTTCTCCCATTTTTCTCCCCTTCTAGTAGTTTTTGAAGCTTATTTCCAGAAGGGATTGTTGGGCCTGTGCTCTGTGGTAGCGGGGCTTCCTGGTCCAGTCGTGCACCATGCTCAGTTCGCCTCTTCCTGGAAATTGGCTTCTTGTAGGCAGGACTGCTGTTCTAGAATACTTGCTGTCCTTCCCCGGGGGAGGGCCGTATTTCTCTGCCCTGTGGCTGCCAGACTTGACCTCGTGAATTGCTCTGGCCAGCAGAGTTCAGGTGCTATGTGTTACTTCCAGACGGAAACTCTGAGCCAAGGGTGGTTGCTCAAGTTTCCTTCTCTCTGCTGCAAGCAGTCATGTTGAAGAGTGGAGCTAGGCTGCATACAATCTCTAAAAGACACCAGGAGTTTGAGCCTACAGAGTTGCAATGATTAACCTTTATCCAACCATAGGGGTGTACAGTAGTGTCAGTGGCTTGTTTGGTCTCCAGTCCTGTTTCAGACAAACCTGACCTTAGGACCCAGCCTCCAGGGCTGTCCTTTTGCACACGGCCTTGGTGTGCATCCTAAAATCCCATTTCTCATTGCTTGGAAAGAACATGAAACAAGGCTGAGTCTAGGGACCAGACAGCTGCCAACCTGTAAACGGTCTTGGATGTTAGGCCGAAAGGGGAAAGCTGTATTTGCGGAGCTGCCGTAAAACCTGAGCCTGGTCTTTAGCAGAGAGAAAGAGCCCCAGCCCTTGAGCAGCCTGGGTGACTGCGGGCGAATTAAGCCTCAGTTTGCCCTTGTGTGAGCACGGGAAGTCAGCTGCAGTGCTCTGCACACCAGGGGACAAAGGGCCCGACTCCAGTGTGAGCTGCTCGCCACTCCAGGACATGGCCTCCCAGGGATTCAGGGAGATTCACAGAACTAAAACTTTCAAGCGTTGTGGCACAGTGAGCTAAGTTGCCACCCTCAATGCCAGCATTTCATATTGGAGTGTGGGTTCAAGTGCTGGCTGCTCCGCTTCCCACCCAGCTCCCTGCTAATGTGCCCGGGAAAGCAGCAGAGGATGGCCTGAGTGCTTGGGCCCCTGCACCCAGATGGGAGACCTGGTTGAAGCTCTTTGTTACTGGCTTTGGTCTGGTCTAGCCCTGGCCATTGCAGCCACTGGGGAGTGAACCAGTGGCTGGAAGCCCTCTCTCTCAGCTTCTGTCCCCCTCTCTCTGTAACTCTTCCTTTCAAATAAAAACATAAGTCTTTTTAAAAAAAATGCCTGGATGGGACCAGTGCTGTGGTGCAGTAGGTTAAGCCTAATGAGAATTGAAAGAGCAATTTGTCTTTTTCAAGATTACACTACACCACAGCACCAGCCCCAATAGGCATTTTCTAAAATGAGCATACATGCTATTATTGGAGAAAAATACTATTCTCAATTTCTAATATAATTTTGAAGCATACAATTAGTCTTTCAATTGTCATTAGTTCTAAATTAATAATTTTTTAAAAATATTTTACTTATTTGAAAGGTAGAGTTACAGAGAAAAGGAGTGACAGAAATACAGAGGGAGAAAGAGATCTTCCAACAGGCTGGGCCAGGCTGAAGCTAGGAACCACAAACTTCATCTGGGTCTCCCACGTGGGTGGCAGGGGCCCAGGTCCTTGGCCTATCTTCAGCTGCTTTCCCCAAGCACGTGAGCAGGCAGCTGGATTGGAAGTGGAGCAGCTGGGATTCAAACCCGGGCTCATATGTGATGCCAGTGCTGCAGGCAGCAGCTTAACTTGCTGCACCACAATATCAGCCCCTAAATTTTATTTTCTGTTAAAAATTCCATAGCCCAGAATTCAGGAAAAAGGTTTAAAAGAAAGTTCTCAAGCTGGTTGAGTGAGCTGGGTTGTGGTGTTGATGCAAGTCTGAGACAGTTTAACAGTTCCCAATGACTGGACCATGAATAAGCTTGAATGATTGAGAAAGTTTTCTTTCCTTTTCAAAATAGATTCTTAAGTTGTATTCCAGATGTGCCGAGTCAGAATGTCCAGAGGTGAGGCTAGAGACCAGTATTTTTAATAAGCCCTCTAGACTTGGGAACTGTTCTATCACACCCTGAAACAAAGGTGCAACTGTTCTCTCCCAGCCGGCAAGTGGCCTCCAACAGGCTGGGGAATGTGGATATTAGACTGCAACTAGGGAACAGTCGTAGATGAATGGTCTGAACTTCTGCAGAAAAACATTGGGGTCTGCACACATGAGGAGCGGGACTTCATCCAGGGTGGGCTGGCTTCACGTGTTTAAGAATAACCAGGAGCCAGTGCTGTGGCATAGTGGGTAAAACTGCTGCCTGCAGTGCCGACATCCCATATGGGCATCTGTTTGAGTCCTGGCTGCTCCACCTCTGATCCAGCCCTCTGCCATGGCCTGGGAAAGCAGTAGAAGATAGCCCAACTCCTTGGGTCACTGCACCCACGTGGGAGACCTGGAAGAAACACCTGGCTCCTGGCTTCAGATTGGTGCAGCTCTGGTCATTGTGGCCATCTGAGGAGTGAACCAGCAGATGGAAGATACCTCTCTCAGCCTCTGCCTCTCGGTAACTCTGCCTTTCAAATAAATACATCAATCTTAAAAAAAAAAAAAAAAAGTAACCAAGCCAGCAGGGTGGTCAAATGCCTTTTCCAGTCAGTGAGGGTCTGGCAGTCAACCATTAACCATTTCTGCTCCACTCAGGGAGAACTTAAAGCAAGTGCTCCTACTCGAGCCAGTCAGTCCTTTTCCAGAGTGGCTGATAAGTTTGTTTTTAATTTTTCTGTAAGCTTCACCACCTTATTTTTTAAAGATTTTAAAAAATTTACTTGAAAGGCAGTTAGAGAGACCTCCCACCTGCTTGTTCACACTCCAAATGGCTGCAACAGCCAGGACTGGGCCAGATCAAAGCCAGGAGCCAGGAGCTTCTTCTCAGAGCCCCATGTGAGTGCAGGGGCCCAAGCACTTGGGCCATCCTTTGTTGCTTTCCCAGGTGCGTTAGCGGAGAGCTGGACCGGAAATGAAGCAACTAGGATGGGAACCGGAGCCCCTGTGGGCTGTTGGCATCGCAGGCGGTGGCTTTACCTGGTACGCCAGAACGCTGACCCCCAAGCTTGTTTCCTTTGAAGGTGCTTTTCTAAAGACGTCCAGTGAAGCGGTCCATTCGCTTACCCTTTGCCACCGTGGCAAATCGGTCAGTGACACGGACAGAGGAGAGCAGAATCACTGTGTCCCTCAGGAGTGAGGAGAGCAAGGGGAAAAGCAGCTGGGCCTGCGTTCCCATCCTGTGGGTGGTCTCTGGGTCTGCTCAGTCGTGGTCCCACCCTGGATGGCCCCTAGCACACAGCAGAACGGGCTGCAATAGGCACACAGCACTGATGCCAGGCAGACGCCATTGCTTAATGTCTGCTGCCACAGGCACGCGTCCTCGGTAGAGGTTACAGACTGGCAATCCAGTTAGCAAATCATTTTTTAAAAAACTGAATTAGGTGGCCGGTGCCATGGTTCACTAGGCTAATCCTCTGCCTGCGGCGCTGGCACTCCGGGTTCTAGTCCCGGTTGGGACGCTGGATTCTGTCCCAGTGGCTCCTCTTCCAGTCCAGCTCTCTGCTGTGGCCCGGGAAGGCAGTGGAGGATGGCCCAAGTGCTTGGGCCCTGCACCCGCATGGGAGACCAGGAGAAGCACCTGGCTCCTGGCTTCAGATTGGCGCAGTGCGCCGGCCGTAGTGGTCATTTGGGGGGTGAACCAACAGAAGGAAGACCTCTGTCTAACTCTCCCTGGCA